AAGTGGGCAGACTGGGTGTATAAAAAAATTATATCTGCAGAACACCTTGACGTGCCATTGGGGTCACTATCAGAGCATCTTTAGTGAGCTATTGGAGATTACTATCTTTGGTGAGTCATTAGTGGTTACTATTAAAGCACCTTTGGTGGACCATTGGGATCACTATCAGAGTATTTTGGTAGATTATTGCGAAAAGGCAGTTGCTCTATCCCGAAGTCTATTAATATATTAGGTTATATAGTATCCACTAGCATGATCTTTACAAAGACCGGGTTCAGCATGATGTAAAAAAAAAAATAGCTAGCAAGATGTAAATAAAAAATTATTAGCCAAAATAATCTAGCTCTACTAATCTCCAAAGAGGTTAATACCCATATTCTCACTATCCGAATCAATCAGAGCTTTAGGAATATTACCAAAGGTAATGATTCTGGATTGAAGGATCGTAACCTCATTACCGGGCTTGAAAATTGGAGCTTCATCTTCAGTATATTCTGATTCTTCGCTCATGATTGAAGCAATAGTGCTGGTCATCTGTAGTGCTTCGATCTGTAGACCCTGCTCTTCCGCTTCTTCAGTTTTGTTTGCTGACAGCTCTAGAAGTAATTCATCAATTTTCATCTGAATTAAATCATCGGCATTAGCCCTATTCTGAAGCCTATTAAAATATTGGGTCACATAATAGGTACCAGAATGCTTTCTACAAAGGCTGAGTTCAGAGCTAGTCAGCTTGCCACAAACCTTACAGAGAAAGCAGGGTTTAGCCTTCTAATGCTCAAAACACCCTTCAGGCTGACAACAGGTCTGTCCACAAACGTATCCAGTCATAAGTAAATAGTTGCAATAGTATTAACCTATCATAGTAATAAGAAATAAATATTTTATTTTAAACAAAAGTTTTTGCTATATTAATACAAATATTCAATACTAGATGATTAACTATAAAGATATCGAATCAGTATTAGTTGAGGTAATCAAAGTAGCATATAGTCAAGACAAAAAAAAATATAACAAAATGGGATTAGCATATGTGGGTTATTTGAAAATATTGCAATGTAAAAGAGATCCAGATGATCATTGCAGATATATATCAAAGCAATGAGCTCCAAATGAGAAAGCCTATAATGAAAGAATGGCGGATTTCAAAGACTGGTATAATGAAGAAGTGTATCAGAGTCTTGAAAAGTTATACAAATTATATCTTTTATTTGCAAACCAAGAAGAAGTTATACAAAAAAGATCTACAGAAGAAGTAAATGAAATACTTAAACTCCATGAATTGAAAATTTAATTCGTGAATACCCATTGTAGTGGTAATTCTGTATCGGGACCTATGATTTGAAGCTTCTCTCTTACAAAAGATCTTTTCGGACCATTGCCTTCATCATCTATTAGCCAGTATAAGACTGGCTGATTTTTTTGCACCAGTGATTCTTTAATATTATAAACTTGAGGAGACCAATTAATATCAGTTGCACGTCTTCTTCCTCCTTCTAGTTCACCAGGATTAAGCAAATATCTTACTAAGGTATTAGAAGATAATTTAGGTTCATCAAATCCAATTGGTTCTTTTTGTGGCTTAGAAGCTTTAGCAAAAACATGTTCTTTTTTTTGAGCTTCAGCAGAAAAAATACCCAGAAGTCGAGTTACAGAATTGTCAAGCTTTACAAGAAAAATTGAAAGATTTTTTACCCAAGCTCGACAGCATTCAGTAGAAGGTAATCTCATTTTAACAC